TTGGAGAAAACAAGTACTGTTGAGATGTATTGGACCTGGCAAATTGTAATGGACATTTTCATTATTTTCTGACATTTTATAGACCAAATGATTATTTGAGCAATTGAAAAAAATCATCTCCAGCCCATTATATTAATCAGATTATTATTTTAAACCAATTGGTACTGTGACATGAGAACATGTGAATTCTAAGCAACATACATGAACAATGGCTGCTCTGTTGGATTGACTGATAGCTGCAGTGCATTTAATGTTGTCATGATGAAGACACAGTACTGTCAAAACTGGTCTCAACAATTTTAAAGGCTGTGAATTAAACCGTGGTTTTACTAGAATATTTCTGATAACGTTTTTTGAGAAGACATGATTTCTAAAAAAAAACATTATGGACACTATCAGATGACCGCTGATAGATTTTACGTTGTGTTTTTTAAATCAGGCATTTTGATATCTGCATTTTTATTGTCAGCTTTCTCTATTTCTTTTAAAGAGAGGTGATTACAATAATTAGCCAATGTACAAAGGTATTTTAGAATTATGAAACCCAATATGTCTCCATGTACTGTCTGTAACACTTTTTCTTTTGTTCTTCTGAGTTGTAGTAAAATTATTAGTCACATACAATCTAACACTCCGACTCCTCTGGCAGGAGCTGTGGCCTCCATGTTCTGGGTTGATGCAGAGCTCGGCAGTGACATCTATTTGGACGGTAAGACGTTTGTAGTTACGTCTGAGTTTGTCACGTTCAGTTGAGCTGCTGCTGCTTGTGTTGGAGTTTTTGTTTAACTTTGGAAAGCTTTGAATCTTTATAAAGAATTAAGTGAAAGATTCCAGCTAGCTGGAGCTTTCCATGCAAATATGAATTAAAAGTGAAGCATCGGAGCCATTATAAATAACAGTCAGTGTTTTTACCTTTTATCCATCTTCGTGTTACTTAACCCGCGGGAATAAAGCATTTGTTCCTGGATTTAAGATACTCTGAAAGGGCTTTAATTTAAAAGAAAAAAAAAGATTTTAACCTGGCGACCTGTCCAGGGTGTCTCCTACCTTCGAGCTGAGTCAGCTGGGATAGACTCCAGCCCCCTATGACCCTTATGAGGATTAAGCGGTGTATAGATGATGGATGGATTTGAACCGTTAAGAGCTGAAATCGCAGCAAAATTCCAAATTTTGTCTGACTTGTGTGTCTTGTTTGTCGGTAGCATCCTGTACTTTCTTATTTATTTATCTGCTGTAGTCGTGTGTGTGTTTGAATGAACGGCGTCATGCTCCTCACACTAAATACTCAGCTGTCCGCTCTGTTGTGACAGGCCAGAAGACCAAAAGTGCTCTTCAAATAATTCTGAGAAAGTGGCTCAGACAGACAAAAGCAAACACCAAAAGGCAACTGCAGTTCAGAACAGAATGTCCCACAAATTGCTGGTGCTGCCTTTGATCCACTAATACTAAATAAAATGTGGTGTGTTTGTTCATCACAGGCATCGTCACTGTCATCGATGCCAAGTATGGACTACAGGTATGTGATTAAAACAATACTTTCAATATCTTGTTCTTGAATAATGAGTTAATGGATTGGATGATTAACAGAAAGTTATTGACAGCAGCTTTCAAGTTCCTAAATGAGATTTTTAATTAAACGCTTTTGTGTTTTAGGCTGTTTTAAAGCTGTCTCCTTGAACTGTGGGGAATTGGGATTGAGGTTTAACAGCCTAAGTGGTTAAATAATGAATCGAAAGTAATGCTTACTTGCAGCCATAATCATATCTATTAACTCCAGCTCCTATTTGTTTCTGTAACTAAACAATTTGGGGCTTTTGATCCAAAATAAGCTGTTGAGATTGTCCGTAACCCGCCTGTGAACAGCGCCAGACCCACATCCTGCCCTCTCTGCGCTGTTTTAAAAGGAACAGGACAAGTGACACCTCGATAATGGGCTCTAATTTGAAGGTGTCACGAAGGCGACACATTTCACTGGCCTAGGTGCTGCTCTGTCCTGAGAGTGCAGGGAGCCAAGATGAAGGTAATCATGACAGAAAGAAGAGGGGATATAACTCATGGTGAAGGAGTAATTGATATCGGAGACGTGACCACTGTAATGGGAGTGTCACATCCACTCACCTGCCTCCCCTCTCATCTGTCTCATCAAATATCTATCTGCCTAAAAATATATCCATATCTCTCTGCCCTCGGCCCTCTGACGGGCCCTTGTTCTCTCGGCGCAGAGGATTTTAAATAAAAGCCGTAATCCGTCATTCTATTAAGTTTTATTTAATACATTTTTGTCCTTCAGCCCCTCAGAGATATAGCCGTGGAGACCCGGGCTAGTGACAGATTCACGTCAGATTGACGCTCAGGGGTCACGATCCAGATTAACGCCTCCTGCTCTGTCTGTTATTACACATTAAAGTGTTTTGGAAAATGCAGCGTCCCCCCGGTGCAAGCGCAGGACACGAGCACAAAATGAAAAGTGATCTCCTGTGGGTTCACGTCTTAATACTGTCTACGCATCACATTTTCTGCTCGTTTTCATTTTTTCAAGCTTAAAGTTGGAAATGTGTAGAATGTTTTCTGTGATTTTTGTGGCTGCATGTGTAAGTTATATCCCTCATCTGGCTTTTTGCAGCAACTGGCAGAAGAAAAAGCAGACGGGCTCGTCAATGAAGCAGCCAGGTACGTCTGAGTTGATGCATTTTTTTCCTATATACAACGCCCTCCATAATTATTGGTTAAGATGTGTCGAAAGCCTTAAAATAAATTCAGTTTTTATTGCACTCTCACACTGAAAATTGTAGACAAATGTAACCTTCAACTCAACTCAAATGAATTGTTGGCAAAAGGGGGTTGTACAAAGTATTAACATCAAGGGTGCTAATAATCGTGGCACCCATGATTTGATGTAAAAGAATTATTTTTTAATGTGGGATTTTTTTCGCCTGTCCAACCTGTGGGAAGAGCTTTGGCCGTGAGCGCACCTTGAAAGCTCACCAGAAAAGCCACCCGGAGGAAAAGCCTGAAAACCCAAGTGCAAAGAGATAATTGAGATGTGGGGACTTTGCAGAAGGTTTTTGAAGATTTTTGTCATGAATTGTCCTTTTTTCTTTTAACCATGGAGATCTCGTACTCCAGCTGTTGTTCCAGATGAGTTGGAAATGGTTTGGAGAATGACATTTTAGCGAGTTTTGGATTTAAAGCCGAGTTTGATTGTGAGCTGTTGAAATGTTTGACAAACCGCAAACCGACGCATCTCCTAAATTGACTAACCAAATGTTAAATCCATCTATTACACCATTTTTTTCATGAAACATAGTTTATTTGTAAAGACATACTGTTTTGATTAACTTTTTAAATGATTTGAATGCACTTGAATTAAAGGTTGAATTTGTGGCCTTATATTATTTAGAAAAAAACTGAATTTACTAGAAGCTAAAGAACACATCTTAACCAGTAATTATGGAGGGCGCTGTATATGTATCATTTCTTTGACAGATTAAACCAATATGCTGATTGGTGAGCTTTGCCCTGTATTCACACATCCGTCACACCAAACCTCATAACTTGCCGTAAACTGTAACTCCTGCCGGTTCGTCTGCCGGTCCGTCTCTTCCGGCAGCTGTGTGGTGGCGTTGCCGCGCTGAACAAATACACAGACGAGAAAAGACCAGTTGGACGACCCTTTGCATTCTTTGTCTTTGTTTGTGTTTTCACCCCTAAACTAAACAATACTCAGCTCCCATTTGAGTTTGGCATCCACTGCCACCCATTAAGACTTGTTGGAAACGTCTTTTCTATGTTGGATTTAGAGTGAACAATTTGACAAGGTGGTATCATCCTTGTTAGTCTTTTTCGATGGGTCGTTTTAATGTTTGAGAGTGTGTTCGTTTACCATGTGAGCACAGTGTTGTGTTTAATGTCTTTTCAGGCAGATTGCTGTCGCTGACCTCACCATTATTAACAAGACAGACCTGGTTAATGAGGAGGAACTAAACCAAGTCAGAGACACCGTCAGGTCAGCGTCCTGTGTTCTAAACTTCTCAGTCATCTGTGGAGTGGATATTAAAAAATGAAGCTGATTTTTTTTTTGTTTCTCTCACATCAGGTCGATAAATGGTCTCGTCAAGATTCTAGAAACCCAGAGATCAAAGTAAGTCCATTTTTCCCCCCTCTCCAAACAAATAAGGGATCATTTTGTGAGATAAGGTTTTTCTGTGACCCTGTTCCATGCTGTGTTCAGCCTAACTGCTGCTTAGATCTTCGTATCAAAGATGTTCAGGCGTGGCATTGCTCTAGAGACACACACACACATATACAAACTGCTGTGCCCTGAGTAAACATCAAACCATCAGTGGTGTCCAATTACCCACAAGCCTTTGCTCTTTGACCCCCGGGCCTTCAGGCCGACACGGTGGCACATGTGCGATTGTGCCCAAATATGTGTGTGTGTGTTTGTGCACCTTCTGTGTTAGCATGTTGTGTCTTATTGAAACCAGGTAGCATCTGGCTAAAGCAAGCAGCATGTATCAAAGGTTGGGTGTGTTTTGGCTCCGCTTTAGCCTCCAACAGGGCCGAGATAAAGGGTGAGCAGATGAAAGACGCTGTGCAGCGAGGGGTTAATCGAAAAAACGTTGCCAAAGCTTTTCGTTCGTTTCATTTGTTTACCTTTAACGTTAGTTTGTGGGAAAAAGTTGCTGAATTTCTCGCTTACTTTACTGTCCGCTACGGTGAGGTTGAATTTAAAGTAAACCGTAAAAAACATGGAAAATAATTTGATCTTCGTTCACAGAGTGGATCTCTCTGAGGTGCTGGATCTGCATTCCTTTGACAGCAAGGATGGAGCAAAGTGAGTTGGTTTTACCCGTTTAAGTTTCATGTAAACAAAATGCATTCATTCATTCATTCATTCATTCATTCATTCATTCATTCAATCAGTGTATGTATTAAAATTCTTTATGTAAGTTATAGGAAATCGACTTCAAAATCAAATCAAGTGTTATCAGTGTACAGGTTCATTCATTCATTCATTCAATGTATGTAATAGAATTATGTAAGTTCTAAGAAACTGACTTCAAAATCAAGTGTTATCAGTGTACAGGTGTAACACAGCTTACAAATGCTGGACGCTGGGAACAATTTGCGATTTAAGGTTTTATATAAATGTTTTTAAAAGCTAGTTTAGTGAATAAAGAAGTCAACATAGTAAACAAAATAAAGGAGTTTAGTCATGTTAGTAAATGCCTCCTGCTTCCTGGGATCTTATTGCAAAAAAATAATCTTTTAAAAATGTAAAGTGCTTAAATCATATCACCTGATTTTAACTTTTGAATACATGAGTCCATGAGCGATGTCCTGAATTCACCATTTTCACATGAATGCCCTAAATTTGGAGCAAGAAAACATGCACTGATCAGATCATTTCATTCAAACATGCCTCTGGAATTCCTTACCTACTTACATATTACTACTTTTTACTTGACATGGACCAGTGTGTTCCCTGGTAACACTGCTCCATTCCTACAGTGTGTACTAACCATCGTGTTTTATTTGAAAACTCAATTTTGTCTCCAGTGACGGCCTTTGTTGCCAACCTGTTGTTGAGCTCTGCACCCAGCAGTCGTTAATACCGTCGCCGACCGTGTTTCTCTCTAATTAACAAACTCCTTTATTGAGCGTCCCCCTGTTACACCACATGACCGTCATCATTTTGTGTCCCCCCGCAGAATGTCATTCTCATGAATAGAGTCGGTGTTCATCCCTTCATTTGAATGAAGCGGCCGCCGTGTTAAAGCTCCCTTACATGCCCCGAGTCAGTGTCTCTGGGCCAGCTGCAGAGGATTAGAGCTGTGTGTGTCCACTGGCTCCCGAGGAGTTCCCCTTGTCCCAACAGATAGCTCCTTTCCCCCCTTGCCTTTGAGAGTCCCGTCCCCTCCTCCCCTCAGTCCCATGCTGGCTGTTTGAAGCGGCCCCCCGCCGCTCTGCCTGTGTGGTACTAACAGCACGCAGGGCTCAAGCAGCTGGACACAACATTTAGCCTCCTTGTGAGGTCACAGAGAAGTGGGAGGAGAGGGGGGAAAGGCGCTGTAGTTTGTTTGGAAGTGGTGGTGGGTGTTCTTTGGGATTTAATTGCCATTTCTAAAATCTTCCTAAGCCCTTTGAGAGTTGTCATTAAGCATTGACACAGCATACAGTGTGTTACCGTGTGAGATGAGATGATAGGCCGCTTTTCTTCTTCAGAAAAGAAGAAAGACGCAGATAAAAGCGTTTAAAAGCTTAAGTGTATTTGTTGCTTGGCTAACTTTATTTCATCCAGGAAAATCTCCCTTATGATGATGACAATAATCGTCTCTTTTTCCTGATGGGCAGTGATAACCAAGAGGAAACATCGTAAAATAGTGACCACAAAATCACAATTACACAGTCAAAATAATCTATATAATTTCAAGTATTATTGGGATGTGATGTAAATGGCAGCTTAGAACCGTGTTTTCCAACATTTAAAAAAAAAAATTTAACATGTGTTTATTTAATCAATCATGATAACAAGACAAATGAAACAGCAGAGTAGCTGGAACTGGACAGTGACAGAACATCAACTATTCGCACTGAAGATGCTAAATCAACATTTGGATTCACTGAGAAGCTTCACCTGAATGTTTTTTGTTTTGTTTTGTTTTGTTTTTCTTTTTTAAATTTATTTTCAAAAAGAACAAACACAAATCAACAAGTTAACAAAGTTGGTCCATTCATGAAAAAGGAGAAGCGCAGCACTCAAACAGTATGAAAATCCACCTAGTGAAACACACACACAAGTCAAATTTCTGTTATGTTACGCTACAAACATGTGTCCAGTTAGTTCAGTTCCAAACTGTATTTAACTCCAAGATGTTCCAGTGGTCTCTTCCATTTCTGCCAAAAAATGTGAAATCTGCCATTGATGTAATGTCCCAATTTTTGAGAGATTTCCATGTAAGAACAGAAGGAGGGTCATCTCCTACCCACTTCACCATAATAGCTTTCCTTGCCAACATTAATAGTGATTGAATCACCTCCTCATGTTGTTTAAGAAAGTTGGGGACACCTCCAAGCAAACATAGCAGTGGATCTACTGACACTTGTTGTCTTATTGCAACACTAATGTTTGTACATATTGCCCTCCAGAATACCTGAATTGGTTTTCCAACATTTTTGACTTGCAAGCCCTTAAAGCAAAGCAGTGTCGACTTGTAAACTGTCACCAGTGGTTGTTTTTATCTATCAATTGTGACCAGCTCAATCAAAAACAATGTGTTTTTTTTCCCCCCTTCCTACTTTCGGGTTTTACAGTCTTGGAAAAAGTAAAATCGTTTAGCAATTTGCAAGAAAAAGAGAGGTTAGAGGAAATTCTTGTTTAACAGCAATTCCCATATCGTTGTGAGGCAGAAGCGCTTCTTTCTGCTGAACCGTTAACGATCTTGTGACTCTTTTGATTTATCTTGGTCCTTTGTGGGTGTCCCAGCCCCCAGGTTTGGAACCGCTGCCGTAAATCCAATCCAAGATAATAAAAAAAAAAAAACACAAGGATAACTATTACCATTACAGACAATAAGTTAATGAAACTAACACTTTAGATTCTTAAATATCCCAGGATGTGAGCTGTCAGGAAATAGAGCACCAAATGATGCTGTTGGTACCTTTGACTGACACAAACTGTAAATGCAGATCCAAAACTCATAAGACAGTCAGCCAAACATGACATTATTTGCAAGAAGTCCTGATGTATTGACAGGTACTTTTGAACAAACACAAATTTTGAGTTTTACTGAGATATTTTAAAAATTATCCAGGTTTACTGAGTCTAGTAAAGATGATGGTCATGTTTTGATCTTTTTTTCTTTCTTTTTTTAAATGAAAATGAGTCTTTTGTGAAATTAAAAGCATGTCATTGTATTTAATAAATCTCTCTCCTCTGAAAGTCTTGCAGAGAAGCTCCAACTTGTGAAATCTACACGACCACATCTTGACAAGGTATTATTTATGCACTCTGAACTGTTGTATTTATTCCTCGTTCTTACTCTTTGTGCACCGCCGAAGAGTTTTTGTTGTTTTGTTTGCTAATTTATTTCAACACATCATTTCCTCCAGGATAAAGGGGGATGCATTCTCCTCAGGCTAGAGCTGGGCCTTGCATTCCCCCAGGCTGTGACGCTGGAGTGAAAACTCCCTCCCTGCCTTGCTTTTTGTGTTGAGGTCAACTTGAAGCTTTTGATGTTTTCTTCTTACAATACAAATAGACTCGATGTGGGTCATACAGAACTTAGACATTGAACCCCCTTCGACTTATGGTGACTGGGTGTTGGCTAGACCGGCTTTAGTCTTGGCTACATGTTATAGCTTTACAGTTTAAACTGAGTCTAGCTGCCGTAAAATCTACCAATCAGACCGTATTTTGCCACCTCTTAGCAGGTGAAACTCACACCGTAGCACTGCAGGAGGAAAACGCAGTCTTGCCCCTGATATCTGGGCATTTGTGACGTCTTTTTAGTTAAGATGTCGCTGAATTAAATGACGCCGTCTCTGTGGGTGTTTTCATCGGACTCCAAATGACTCCTTGCAGCAATTAGGCCTCATATTGTTTTGAGTTGTGCTTTACATCCATGAACTTTTATCACAGGATGAAGAGAGGCGAGGGGTTATTTGTGTGGGTAAATAACGGCATTGTTGTCTGTTTTCTCCCAGGTTCCCTTTCCCGCATGAAGCTCAAATGTCCCCTGAACCCCCTCCCCTACGTTGCTCTTTTCATGTAAATGAGAATGCTGTTTTTCTGTTGTTATACCAAATGACAAGGAAGTGTGTAACCTTAACACTTCAACACAAAACCCCCCCAAATATCTGCAAAGTGCCCTTTTTTTTAATGCTGTAAGGAAGTATGGAGAGGAGGGACTGTATGTGAGAGAGAGCGAGCCAAGCAGTGAGGGGATGTAGGCAGATAAAGAGGGACGGCGCTGCTGGGTTTCAGGTGCCACGTGGAGTCGTGGGTTTCGACGCGTTCGTCGACAAAGTCATCAGCTGGGGCGTAAAAATAACGCTTCTTTTGTTTAGCATTCATTATGACTTTGCCAGTTTCGGTAAATTGAAAATATGTGTGAAAACGTATTTTGAATAAATGTCACCAGATCTCCAAAACATAGAAGCAGCAGTAAATCCACTTATAAAGCAGTACACTTAAAGACATGCTGATAAATTATTTATTGCATGCTATACTGTACTGAACCACATTTTATAGGGAAATCTGGCACTTTTTTCTACACGTGTGTGACTTCTAGAGTTAGTCAGTACACTTCACTTTGAAATTATACAAAAGAACGATATGTAATGTGGGATTTTATGTCATGATGGAGTATTTTCTCCTTCTGGTTTTGCTTTTATTTAAGTGAGTACTAATTTCACCACAGCATCCAAACACTATATATGCTTTCTTCAGTCCTTACTTCACAGTGTTGTATTTCAAAGTGTGTGTTTCAGTTAGTGGCAAATACCATAATTTTCCTGTACATATCCACACATGTTTTGTTATTTTTATTTTGTCATCCTCAGAGTATTTTAACCGTGACGTTTGAAGCGGCTGGAGATCTGTCTGAGGAGGCTCTGAACGCCTTCATCCAGGTAAAAAACACTCTATCACTCGGATCCCTGGTGCCATTACTAATTAGCTCTAATACAACAAAGTCCTTTGAAAAGTAAACACCCATTTTCCACTGTCTCAGGATCTCCTTTGGGAAAAGATGTACTGTAACAAAGAAGGGCAACCCATGACTGTTATCCGGTTAAAGGTACAGCGCAGCACAATAGACGCCCCGGTGGCAGCAGCCATCAATAACGTCAGCTTTATTATCTACATTAATCAGTTCCAAATGCCTCATTCAGTCTTGGTTAATGTGTCACTTGTGTGTTTTCAGGGCATAGTATCATTTGCAGGTAAAGCCCACCAAACGATGCTGCAGGGGGTCCACGAGCTGTACGAGCTGAATGAGACTCCACAGCTTTGGGAGGAGAACCCGCGGATCAACCGGCTGGTCTTTATAGGTGACGACACACACACACACACACACACTTGTTTCACCTCTTTGTATTTACGCAGTTCTAGAAAACCGCTTTGAAGGCAGCCGATGCAATGCGGTGCAATAAATGAATCTTCTATTAGCACTTTCATGTTTACGCTTTTTTAGTGTCTGTGTCACTGAGTGGAACATGTTTTCTGATTTTAGCATAAATTCCAAACATTTTTGGGGTAATGCTTTACTTTATGGGTTCACAATTTCCTACAAATGTCCTTTGAAATTCTACTGGAATGTATGTAATTTGGGAAATATAGACAGTTTTCAGTCAAGTTTGGCTGAACTGCAAAAAGCAAAACTGTTAAATTTGTCTACACCTTGCATGTTTATGTCTGTATGAGTGAGCATGTAGCCACAGTGTGCTAATGCTCCTTTGTCTCCACTCTGTTTTGCAGGTAGAAACCTGGATAAAGACATCCTGCAGGAACAATTCATTTCTAAAGTGATGCTGGGCACAGAGAAAAAATAGCTAAAACTACTAAAACCTCCTGCTTCACATCAAAACCTGTTGATTGTGGAGCTAGAATTGCGGCGCTGGCTATCCGTAAATCTGAGATTATCTTTCAGACATTCATTCCTTTTCTACTTGAGGATGAGGCGTGTCCGAGGATGACTAAGGTAACCGTACTGGTCAACATAGTGGCTGTATATTGTGATGATCCATCACAATCTGCTTTAAAAGCTACAGTAATTAAGAATGTTTGATGTGCTTCTGACCTGGAAAGTTACCAAACGTGACCCCCTAAATAACTAATAATGTTTGCACATACAAAGATGCCACAAAGGCCCAGGACTTCAGTCAATAGAATGCATTTTTAGAAACTCTGCTTTATGAAATCTGCAATATTTAAAGGTTGGCGCCTCCGTGACGCACAAACTGTATCGAGTGTTGATTCTACTTGAAGTATCCCTGCTTATGTTTCTAACTTTTAACACCCTTTATTTTTAAATTATTCAAAATAAAGTTTTCTTCTGAATATAATATACTTTTCTTCAATGCCTAAACTTTTTTTTTTTTTAATTATCAGTACATTTGTCTTTTTGTAGCTGACAACACCAGGTTATTAACATAACAGAGACAAAGTCCCATTGTGTTGAATGGGAAGCTCACTATTATATTCAAAGTGTTCGAAAGGCCTCCAAAAGAATTAACGTCTTAGCTTATGTGTTATGAAAAGCAAACAAAGAGATTTCAATCCAGTAAATAGACTGTGATGATCCTGAAAACATAAGTAAATTGTGATATGTCAGATATTGGAGGCAAAACTTGGCTTATTTAATAGTTTTCACATTAACTACTAAAAACCATTTAACTTACACTGACCCAGCTTCATTTAGAATTTAAGACCTCATCCATTATTAATCTTATTTATCTTTGCAGTTGAGTGTGATGCTCTTACTTACACCTGCAGTTTCAGGGAAGTTTGTGCTTTTAACACTTGACAGATTACAGCTTGTATTTTTTTGGTATCTGTGATTTAAGCCTTTATTGGTGCAGTCATGTGAGAACACAGTTTAGGCTCAGTAGGTCTTGTCAGGTGAGGAAATAGGAGGAGTTTTCCCAACTTGGTCATTTGCAATGGAGATGGTAGCCTATAGCAGCGAGGGTTTTTAGCACATATCCGCCGTTGGAGCGGTTTGCTTTGAGGATGGCTCTGCTTATTCATCCCGGTCGTAAAGCCGAGCTGAACCCAAAGCACACAGAGCGCATCGTGCAGCTGAGCCGTTTCCTACTCGATTCTGATGCTGATGGCCTCGTTAAGGCGAGGATTGCCTCTTTTCTCTGCTGGCTGCGGGAAGCCTCACCACGGCCATTTTCATGGTCACACCACCTGCGGGCATCCAGAGGTGGCAAACTAAACGAACCCGCGGGGGGTTCCAAGAGGGGGGAAGCCTTGGGTTTCTTATCACGGGTTAGGCGTGGTGTTAAAACTCCCGAGAACATCCGACTGTGCTGCTGCATGGTTTGTAATATCAAATGGATTTTTTTTCATTTCCTCTGCCTCCTTCTAACGTCTCCCTTAGTTGCAAATAAACAGCAGGCACAAGCCACAAACTATTTTTATTAACGGTGATCATCCAAAATTTAAAAACCTTGGTAATATGTAGAGCGCATGTGTATGGTGTATTGTCTGATTAGAAAAAGTTGTCAGTTTTCTTCCTGTTTTATTCCATATAAGTCCGTAGCTTGTATAAAAAGATTGTAATAATGAAAAAATACAACATCCCTGAACTTTCTGTGCATGACTCGGCCTTGCGCACATCAGGATCACGCAAGCCCCCTCCCCACCTGTGTGCCTGTTGCGGCTCCCCGCGGTGAGGGGCTACTCTGATAGGTCCGGAGGGTTAATGGGACTGGCCTACAGGGCAGCAGCCTTCTAAGATATAAAGCCTCAGCTCTCACTACAACAGCGAATGGTTTAAGGAGAACCACACGGTCGATGCGCTTTTACGCATGAAACGGGGGGCCTTTTGGTTTTTACGCACGGCAAACCACCAAGGCCTCTTTGGCACAGCACAGCTTTTACGCGTTTTTGAACATTCTTCGTGCGACCATGACTCTCTCCAGTGAATTTGAAGCGTCTCAACACGCTGGATTGCCCGCAGAGGAGGATGAGATTGACATAGTGGGCGACGAGGAGCAGCATGTCCACGGACGGTTATATCGTAATGAGTCCTCTACGGACCCTGGTTCCTCAGCAGAATCTGGCGCTGAATTCGACTCCTCAGAGCCAGAATCCTCCGGAGAAAGTGAGAACAGTTTCTGCGCAGACGCACCGCCGTCCAGGAAAGCCCAGAGCAGCTCGGTGAAGCCCCCCTACTCCTACATTGCCCTCATCACCATGGCCATCCTGCAGAGCCCGCAGAAGAAGCTGACGCTGAGTGGCATATGTGACTTCATCAGCAACAAGTTTCCCTACTACAGAGACAAGTTCCCCGCTTGGCAGAACTCCATCAGGCACAACCTCTCCCTCAACGACTGTTTCATCAAGATCCCGAGGGAGCCTGGAAACCCGGGTAAAGGCAACTACTGGTCTCTGGACCCTGCCTCAGAGGACATGTTCGACAACGGCAGCTTTCTTCGCCGACGGAAGCGATTCAAGAGAAACCAGCCCGAGTTTGGCAAAGACGGACTTATGTTTTATTCCGGCATGAACTGCTACCGGCCGTACGGGCAGCCATACGGCGTGCAGGGCCAGGTCAGCCCCACACCTGCTGCTCCTGTGAGGTACGTGCCTATGCAGGATGGCATCATGATGCCTCCTTCTTCCTACCACCTTTTACCACAAGTTCTGAACAGTCACGGGAAGTGCGGTGGGCCTAAAGACTTCAGAGCGCAGTTGTGCGCAGCAGAACCCGCTGAGCCAAAGCCTGGCCCGCAGGCAAGGTGCTCCTTCAGCATTGACAGCATAATGAGCAGACCCTCTACTATCAGCCAGCAGAACCTAAATCCTCAGCAAAGCGCCCCCAGCGCTCTTGGATACGGTCATCTCATGTCAGGCCCCACTGCTTGTTTGGTACCGACGCTCCTGCAAACTTCCAGGACTCCATTCTGTCCTCCTCCCCTGCTGAGCACTGCTCCTTTAATAAATGAGCATCTCAGACTCTCCTACCCTCGCTGCTGAAGCCATTTGCCTATAAGAAACTGTACAATGTTTGATGCTATGTGAGGATACGTTTGTGTAGCTCATTTCTTACAGAAATAATTTAATTGCATGATATTTATGTGCGTTGAGATTCAAAGTTCTGTCTTCAAAGAGAGCAATGTAAATAAGATGAGTGGTAATATATATTTGTGAAAGTCGCTGCAATAGAAAACCTGCTCGATTCATATGTTTTTTTTTTATTATTGTTATTTTTTAAGTAATGTGACTAAATAAATGTCCGAAAAATAACTTGCGGTTTGTGTGATATGTGGGGCAGTTTGTGGAGTTGTAAAAGAAAGAATATGTTACGGTATGTATAATATACGACTTGTCATTAAAATTTTGTAAGCAGGCCTCATTTTCTATAGTTGGTGTATTTATGTTGGATGTGTATAAGAATGTAATTATTATGGCAAAACTTTGAAAAAAAATGTGTATTAAAACAAATCTCTAACTATCAAATGACTAAAGATTCCACCTCTAAAGTTGCAAACGTCCCTATTGATAAAATAAACTCAGACAAGTGAAGCGCTCGATTTTCTGCATTGAGGCCACTTCACCTTTACGCATTAGACATTTACGCATTTGACGTGTGAGAGAAACATAGGTACATGTGCAGCAACAACCGAACTATTTTTTGGAACAAAATAAGTTTAAAGTCAAGAATTGGCTTTCTATTTAGATAAGTTTTGCATTTCTTTGGTGTTTCATTTAACTTAGAGATAAGAAGTTCTTCCTTTCTGCCTCCAGGGCGCAGTGTTGGCAACGTTTTGGAGCAGGCTCAATGCAGACTGACGGTGACCTGCTGTGATGGGCTTTCCCGTGTTTATAATTACACGACTACATATACTATCTACTTTTGCATTTTTTAAAAAATGACGCAAAATACAATGCAGAATCTGCAGAAGAGCGAGTAAGATGCGTAAAGTTAAAAAAAAAAAAATCCTGAACAAAATTCAGTTCAGATGACACTTTGCTATCAGGGAGGGAAGTTTTTTCTCATTGCATTTCTTACTTTACAAACTATACAAGTGACCACAGGCATGGCTTGTATCTTCACACCGGGACGTGTGGACAGCACAGACACATGCAGTGTCCGGTTGCAGATCGGTCCCGACACAATTCCCCCCCTGCCATCAGTCAGATGTCTATTTTTGGACCGAGGCTCAGCTGATTGTGGGCCTTGACGATTCCGTCCCTCCCTGATTTTTTTCTTCTGCATGTAGTCAGTTGTTCAGGCTTATTAGGAAAAGAGGGAGTTGTCTAACAGCAGAGGAGAGTTTTGGTGACTCTTAAGTTCAGCCAGTACTGAGGGATGCGGCTCTCTTGGCTGAAACATAAGTCGAAGAGGTGAAAATATATTTTTGATTGGGTGTTTCCTTTCATTCTAGCAACTGGGAACAGCGTTTCTCTTGACAGGGTGAGCAGGGTCCACCTTGGTGCTGTCAGTTTCCTCAACTTTTACTCTGTGGTTGGATCCCACCGGTGCGCAACTCCAGACTCAACTCGAGGTAGTTTGATCCTCCCGTTGGGTACCGACGAGGAGGATGGAGACGAGCCCCATCCCGGTGGTGACGGTCCAAACCGCCCCCTTCGACGACCAGCGGCCCGGTACCAACGGGCTGCGGAGGAAGACGGCGGTGTTCGAGGGGAAGAAGAACTACTTGCAGAACTACATCCAGAGCTTGCTGTCCTCCATCGACCTGCGGGACCGGCAGGGCTGCACCATGGTGGTGGGCAGCGACGGCCGCTACTTCAGCCGAGCTGCCATCGAGGTGATTGTGCAGATGGCAGCTGCCAACGGGGTAAGAAAGGAGAGGGCGACCTCCAGTCAGCACACACCCAGACTGTCATGCAGTTGTTCCCTTCTACCAACACGTTAGAAACCAAGTAGAACATCAGCATAGATTGTATGTCTTCATTAGATGCTGCAGACATTTGTGAAATAACTTTAATATACTGGACTGGATGACTCAGTACCAGCAAGGTCAAGCCAAGTTAGATTTCTGCTGCTTATCACTGCAAAGGAGGATCAATACGCTTGCCAAGAATGATAATGAAAGTTCTAACAACAAAAGTAATAACACTTTTTTTAGTCTGAGATGTGTTTGCTGTAGCCCAGCGATTCCCAACCGTGGGCCGGGACCCCCACCAGGGATAGGAGGATGAACCTAAAGAAAATGATTACCACTGAATGAAATAACAACAATTCTGCCACAAGTGATTGTTTTTCAGACTTTTTTTTCTATTCATATCACCTTAAAACGCTCCAAGTATCCAATAGATTATCAAATATGAGCATGAGGAGTGAAAGAACATGTCAGTCACTGCTCTCAAGACAACCTGAACTTTGTTTAAAGAGGTCACGAGCTACAGAACTGAGAGGAGACATGCAAGAATCCACAAGAGACTATTCAGCCACTACATAAAAACTTTATGCAAACATATAAAATCAGAATTTTATATTACTTGTGTGCTCCGTACATGCAACAGTCTGTGATGTTAACACGCAAACTTCTTGTCACTCATCCAAGAAGTGTCAAAGTGTCAACAGCACATAAATGAGAATAGGAAGCCAGAGTGGAGGGGAAGAGGAAAATCCCCACCGCTCTTTTAAAACGCTTTGCTGTGAGATCTTAGTGATTGGTTTGGTCCGTTTCCAAAGGAAAATCTGAAGGGAATATAATTTGTTTTTGAGATCAGTCCGTTTTTTTTTTCTTTCTGCTGGTCCAGCCAAATGACTCTTGGTGTCAGCCTTATCAGCACTTCCATCCATCCTGCTCTATTTTCCTGCCTACGTTTGCCCCCGCCCCCCCACCTCACTGTTCCATCTCTCCAGGGCCAAACTGTACGCGCTGGGGATCCCCTGTCATACTGTATGGCAAAGAACCAAAAGCACAGCAGCAACACTTGCAAACGACAACCCATCCGTTGCATGTCCTTCATACGCTGAGTTAAAAAACAGATTGCATTTCTTTGGGTTTTCCCTCCACTTTCCTCGCCTGTCCTTTATGAAACATCCCGGATGTGAGGAGGATACGCTGATGCCAGGAGAATAAATTCCTCTCCAGTGAGGACACTTTTATTTAGAGTAGCTGATATGCAGGGGAATTATGGGATGCTGGTGGTATTACCACTTTAAAAGTAGCATACAAAGTATAAATAGAGAGTGCAGCCCTGTTATTTAGTCACTCTCTTGGGGGAGATCGTTTGCTTTTTAAAACGAGGGGCTTCAATTATCAAGTGTAGAATGATCGGATGCTTCTGGCCAGGGTTACTGTCAGTTAAACTGTGCTCTTGAGCGTTTTCAGGTCATGGAAGAGGGAAATTAGTGTTTATTTTAGAAGTTACACAATAGGATATCCCACCCTGGAGTGATTAATGACTGACACTGCTCCTCGCTAATATCTGCTGTGCAGATTGGTCGACTGGTAATCGGCCACAACGGCCTCCTGTCCACCCCTGCCGTTTCCTGCATCATCAGGAAGATCAAGGCCATTGGCGGGATTATCCTCACTGCCAGTCACAACCCCGGAGGCCCCGGTGGAGACTTTGGAATCAAGTTCAACGTGGCAAATGGAGGTGAGGGCTGTGAATGCGTGTGTTAAAGGTCATACGTATACAGGTTTGGGACCATTTGTGAGTCAATATGTTTTTTTTTATTGGTTAAAAAAGGATAATAATGTGGGTTCAGTTTCCAGGTATCAGTGAATGTCTTTATTTCGTTGGCTGGCAGGCCCATCTACAGACACGGTGATGGAGCGGATCCACCAGGTGAGCAGAACTCTTGAGGAGTACGCCATCTGCCCCGATCTCCGCATTGACCTGTCCAGGATGGGAAGACAAGAGTTTGACCTTGAGAACAAGTTCAAACCTTTCAGAGGTACAACACTGGTGGATGCTGAGGCACAACTTTTATCTATCATGTTGAATTGAACAATAGTAGACTGTATATGAGCATGAATATTGGCTCATACTTGTAGTTTAAAGCTGCACATTTCTTCTGTATTCTCTGAACTGATTCCCTCTCAGTTGTGTGCCCCTTTTTTCTTTAATACGCAAAGGCATATTGTCATCGTTTACTATTTCTCCTGTGTTTCCAGTGGAGATTGTAGATTCAGTTGAAGTATATCTGCAGCTGCTGCGAAACATCTTTGACTTCACCGCCATTAAGAGCCTTCTCACAGGACCAGATCAGCTAAAGATACACATAGACGCCATGAATGGAGGTGAGCTCATCCTCCCCTCATATCATACCTGAGCTACTGTTAATGTTAATCAAGGTGATTAATCTGACCTCTCCTGTCCTGCTCGTTGTGTTACAGTGATGGGCCCCTATGTACGTCGGATCCTGTGTGATGAGCTGGGAGCCCCGGCTAACTCTGCTGTCAACTGCGTCCCTCTGGAGGACTTTGGCGGTCGACCTCCTGAGCCCAACCTGACTTACGCCACCTCTCTGGTAGAGGCCATGAAAGGAGGCGACTTTGGCTTTGGAGCTGCGTTTGATGCAGATGGGGTAAGGCGACTGCTATCGGTGTTTCCCCAGAACTGACTATATAGAACAGGGGTGTCCAATCCTGGTTCTCGAGGGCCACAATCCTGCATGGTTTAGATGTGTCCCTCTTCCAACACACCTGATTCAAATGATCAGGATCGTTATCGGGCTTCTGCAGAGCTTGATGATGAGCTGATCATTTGAATCAGGAAGAGGGAAACGTCTAAAACATGCAGGATTGTGGCCCTCGAGGACCAGGATCGGAGACCCCTGATATAGAACAGTATGCTCGCACTGCAGCAAGATGTTAGTACAAAACTGCACATCCTGCAAAGTTATTGGTTGCACAGTGACATCTGTTTCTGACTTCGGAGTTGTCTGGGATGCATTTAACGCAGTCTTGAGGGGACGGCTACTTCAGCTTTGTAAAAAAATTGGCCTCGATGAACCAGTTAAATTGAAATAAGACACTTAAAAGTTCGAAATGACCAACATTCTTCCCCTATAAAGCTTATTTGCCCTGTCTGGAGCTAAACAACACTAGCATGATGAAGAAGGGATTAAACTGCTTACTCACAGAGTTAAATGAATACAAAAAAATCTAACGCCATTTACTGTATACGCAAGACTGAAAAAGAACTATTTACAGAGAAAATGGACATAAATAAGGTCTCTCAGAACTTTTATTAGGAACTCTACCTCATGGGAGAAGCTTCGACAGAATCATATGAGCAATTCTTTTCAAATTGGCCCAGATTTCCTTGAAAGGGAGATCACATTCGATGATCAAAGATGCACTGAAAGACTTCAGGGCAGGAGGGACTCCTGGAGATGATGGATATCTATTAAAGTTTTATTTTTTATGCACACATAAAGGATTACAGGGTAATGAACATTTTTAAAAAATCTAAAATGTTCAAAGGCGTGCTTGTTACTGAAACATTGGTTTCTTGATATAAAATGTTGAAGTTGTGCAAATCTTATTATGTGATGACAAGCCTAAATACTGTATTTATGGTCCCCTTGCTTCTTATGCATCACTTTGTGCCATAAAATAATAAAGTTTTAAGTGCTATGTGGAATCTTTATGTTAAAAAGATGCTTTTTAACATTATTATTATTATTATTTTTTTACAATATTTGCATACTGTGGAAATCATCGGTCACTCAGCAAAACATTCATCCTTTCATTCTTTCAATTTTTTTTTTCTTTTTACTGTAAAGAATATTATTTATGTTGTTATGTCGACTCCACCCATAGATACCAGAGGGACCTTATTTATTTTTTATGTGTTTTTGTTTGCATGTCGATAGCAGGATAAGGCGATGGGGCCAAATAATAGCGTGTCCATGATGATCCAACAAGCAGCTCACTTTTTCCACAGTGTCATCCAATAGACATTTATACTGTATACACACACACACACACTAACACACACACACACACACACACGTAGAGACACACAATTAGCTTAGCATCAGGAGAATTACATCATATCTGCCCTGTTTCTCCTACAAGGATCGGTATCTTCACAGTGATTACCACCAGTCTTTACAATCTTTCTTGTTGTTTCATAGCACTGAAACTTCTAACTTTCAGAACTCAACAGTAATAAGGAGTGCTGGAAAAAACCAAGTACTGAGTAGTTATTTGTAGCTCATATTGTTCCATATTTTTATGAATCTTAGCTGGACAAATTCTCAGCCATAGTACCTTGAAATTATAGTAAAAACCCAAATGTACAATATACTTACAACTTTTTGTTCCATTTAATACCACATGCTCTGACCTTAAAGGTGATGTTCTGTGCTATTCCATATTTAGTTATTATAATAAATGCCATAAAAAAAGACCAAAGCCATCTATAACCATCGTGCTGACTGCCGAAGCACCATGTCACCTCTTCATCTGTGGAGTCCACAGTCTGGAGGATGTGGAGGCTGTTGAAGCTAAAACTGGGCTTCTACTCAACCAAGCACCAAGTTGAAATCAAGCTGGACCAAGAAATGACAGAACAAACACTAGAAAAACAATCTCCGAACCAGCGCTGAAGGATGAACCAGCCTCTGACTTTTAGGAGCAGGAATCCTTCACCTGTCTAGAGCCACCTGTCTCATCTTCTTTAGTGACCTCTCTGGCTGAAGAAGATGAGAGCTCAACCTCCACATCTGGAGCAGAGCAATAACGATGAAGACATCCTGGAACCTCTGAAGACCTTGGACCCATCTCTGGAGGCTGGCCCTGACACAAAGTAGAAGTTTTATGTGGATGTGCTTGTGGAGTCACTGACTTTGCGGATCTTCCGCTGGCAGACTTTCAGACAACTTTGACGAGATCTATCTGTGGCTGTTGCAAAAAGTCTGGGCAGAAGTCCAGGACGAGGGCCGTAACTTCCACAAGTACAAGGTGAAAAGGCTGGACAAGGTGGAACAGTGCTGCACACTATGTTCTGAATGCCTTGTTAATGGGCTGCCCAAACATCGACAACGAGATAATGTCCAAGAGGCAATGTGGATACGGTCGAAGAGGTATCAGGCCAAGAAAGCGAGGATTCATCTTGTCGTGCAGCTGTTTGTCTTGACTGGCATCGATAAATAGCTTCACTTGAACTGTGACCTTCATTGTGAAGAGTGCAGCGTTATAAAGAGTTGAACTATGTTGCTGCAAATATTCACCTCAGACTGAACTCCTGCTGATTCATTTTCATTCAGGTCAAATTCTTTGAAGAGCAAAATTTCATGTTGTTTTCCAGCCGTAATTTTAATTTTTATCTTTGCATAGATTTGAACCACAATGAAAGATGAAGTACTGTTAAAAAAAATGTGTTCTTACAAAATATCAAAGCATTTTATTTAGCAAAAGGGCTTCTAACAAATCAGTCTTGTTCTCACCAACTCTGTGAAAAATGGATTTAATCATGAAAATAAAAAAAATGCAGCTGATGTTCTACTTTTATAACTGATAACTTTATTTATTTAATTTTGCCTTAAATCCCAGCTTTTTAAATCATCTGCTGAGGTTTTTGGATTGAGCAGCAGCTCTGCTCCAGTGAATGTTGTTTCGATAAAAGTCCCAGAATTCGGTGAAGAGCGACACATTCATGGATCAGATCTGTTAGTTTCCTCAGCAGATTGTTCAGGTGTGACAATGAGGAAGGACTAACAAAGACAGACATTCAGTGACTGTTTGATTTGATTTAGCTGCAGTTTAAAGTTACAGCTTGATGAAAGGTGAAAGCTTGGAGCATTTGTCAACACTGCACTAAAGAAATATATCATTTATATATGTTTCATGAATCTGAGGTCTTTGTGTTTAATTATTTCTGAATAGAAAATAATCTTTTGTTGCCTGTGTCTGATGAAAACCACATTTTTCCACATTTTTCTCAGTCTTCCATCACAAAATACATGACATTTGTTTGCAAATCAGTCGAGTTCAGTCTTATTGGAGGCCTCTCTCTAACTCCACAAGATTTAAAATGTGCTTCATGATGTTGTGGTGCTTTCAGGACCGCTACATGATCCTTGGAGAAAACGGCTTCTTTGTGAACCCAGCGGACTCTGTTGCCATCATGGCCGCTAACCTCTCCGCCATCCCCTACTTCAGACAGCATGGCGTCAAAGGCTTTGCCCGAAGTATGGCCACCAGCGCCGCCCTTGACAGGTACAACACACACTCAGTCACTCAGTAGGTCTTGTCACACAACCCGCCTTTTGCTCCACACACTTCTGCTGCAGCCCAATCTCTGGAGAGGGACGACACCCGCTATGAATAAAACTTTGAGATCACATACACGCCTCCCCCCCGCCGCCTCTTACACACACACACACATTTACTCACCACCTATAAATATTGTCCGTTATGTAAGACCAGAGCGAGCTGAGGGTGCTGAGTGAGAGGATGTGATCACAGCTAAAGTCATCCCCGTTAACATTGTTCCCGTAGGAGGGATCCCAGCACCGCACACCCCCGAGGCTTCAACAGAGCAGAACACTGTCATTATACACACTGAGGTAACCAGTTAAAATACACTATAGTTAGTCCAGACTACGTATACTGCATGTGTGTACTTGAACACAGTACTGTTGTTCCGCTGAATTCAATACCTATGAGCATTTTCTCCATAACATATGTTTAGACTCCATGAAACATACTCAGATCACTTCAGGTGACTTGTTGCTATGTAATTCAAACATGTGATAAGCTTGTTTTATTATATTCTGGATAACAGATCTCAAAGAAGTAGAAAACAAGTACAAACAAACCCCATTTTGACCTCCTATCTGTAGTTATTGTTCTTTATGATAGCTTGACCTAGACTATGAACACTTTCCTACTATCTGAAGAAGGCTGAAAGTTGTCTTCATAACTACTAGAACATAAGTGCATGTGTGTGTTTATTGCTATGATAAACAGGTGTATGTTCAAGTATGATCACATAAGTCACACTGTACCTTATAGCAATTGTATGACATGTTCTGATGCAGGTTTAACTCGTCAAAGTACATTTATTGGAGGGAATATTGATGCTACTGCTGCTAGCACCACATGGAGAGTTCATATATTATATAGAATTGCAACTTTATTAACTTTTCATTATAATAATGGCAGTAATGAACCTTTATTACATATTGGATAAGATTAGACGACTGACATTGTTCAGTTAAAGTCACTATTTGGCCACACATGTTACTGTCAGCTCATTTATTGTATACTTATATATTATATATGCAGAGATTCTGCTGTCTACATACATACAACATACAAAGACCACATCGCCTCGCCAGCATAGTTACATGTATCTGTCACCATGTGCGTGATTGAACGTGTGTGTGTGTGTGTGTGTACATTACTATGTGTTAACACTGGCAGGCTTTAAGGAAGGGACCTCACTGCCAATCTTTAGTCTCTCTGGGTTTCACGGTTACAAGTGATGCTTAGATATGTGCAGTGGGATGTTACATCAGAGAATTATTGGTTGTCTTTATTTGTGTAGTGACTCCTACACACACTCAGGCACCGGACACACACACACACACACACACACCCACACACACACACACACACACCGTCGCTTTTGTGTGGTGTTGCTCTGTTCCCTGCCTAAGGCTGTGTCTCATGATGTTGAAACGTAATGATCAGGCTAAAAGAGCTGCTTTAAAGGTTTGCACACACACACACACACAAACACACACACACACACACACACACACACGCACACACACTGAGATCTGAGAAACAAATGTCACATGTCCCACTACAACCTTGAGCCGTGGACCTTTCAGGCATCACACGCACTTACAGACTTTTCATTACTACTAGAAATACCTCCGTTTTCCCTCCTTGTCCATTTTCCCAGCTTTTCTCCTGCATTTGCTATTTTTGTATTAACGACAGCACAAGTTTTATTTTCTGGAATCTGTGACCTGGTTGTGCAATCTGCTGAGGAGTAGAATTACCCTATTGAATGATATCCGTTACAGATAATGCTTAAACCAAAGATAATATCGTGCTCTGGGCTTTCCATACAGCTTTGTGCGAAATAAATTGCATTATATATGATTTCTATCTTCTCCATGTTAAATACAATTTTAGCAGAGGGCTCTAGGGCACGTCGTCTCGTGGCGTTAGCACACTAGCCTCTTCTATGATTACATACTGATAATCGAAGTTGCAGGCCAGGGTCACTTTGTTCAACTCTTAGCTGCACAACTGTTGCTTCGGTTCATGCACTAATGCACATCTCTGCATGTCCTTGACGAACTCCAGAAAGCGTTGATAGCGCTCAGTGGTGCGATGTCGTACCCTGGAGTCGGCCCAAGCGTCGACCTTTTTAGGAGAGTGTGTGGCCGGCGCGTGTGCGTCTGTACGCCGGGTGTTTAGACTGAGCAACCCTCCCTGCTGCGTGTTTATGCATAGTCAAGCAAACTGTGTTATAAAAGCCTTGATAAATGCGATGTTGTATATACCGCGTGTGGTTGCGTGGGTGCGACGGGGGAATAAAGGAAAACGACGGGGGAGAAAGAGAACGCAGAGGATGTGCAGGAAATCGATTGGCCTCAGATAAACGGGAGGCGGGAGTTGCAGGTGTTAAATCTGTCATTCTTCGGTACGCTGAGGGTGTCTGTTTGCTTTGTGTTCATCGGTGCCTCTCTGTGTGCACGTACTGAGCGAGGGCTGATGCAGTGAGGGAGGGAGGGCAAGTGGGAGGGCGGTTTTGGTAAAGGAAACATCTGCCTCTCCTACAGTTCCAAGGATGGGAGGATGTAGGGAGAAGAGAGGCAACTGTTGTGTTTGTGACCAGGGTGAAATGAGTTCTTGGGCTGAATCGTTTGATTAACGCTGGGAAATTCAGAGGTCAGATGTTTAATGTTGTGTTGTAACCAAAGTGGGGTTTTTTGTTGTTGTTGTTTTATGGTGGATGACGACAGTTCTCTGGCTGTACATTTGGGATCATTTGGGACAAATAGGATGCCTACTTAGTGGTGTTGCATGTTGGATAAGAATCTCAACATCTAAGGTGGCTAAATCCTTTCCACACTACTCTCCTATATATAAATAGTATTGAATATAGACCAGGTCAGGTTTGGTAGAGCTGTACTTGTTTTTCTGCTTCAGTTTCATCCATTTGGGGTGAAAAAAATAGTGCAAAAAAAATCTTAAATGCAAGGTCACATGCTCTATTGTGCAACTGTATTTTCATTGGAAACAAGATGCACAAGGTGGCCAAGTTAAACATTGACGCAACAAGCAACCCCCCCCCTGATATACTATTATTAGATGGTAGATATATTTTGGTTTTGGAAAATCCCAGAAAACTTTTCTTGAGCTGATGTCAGAAAGGTATTTAGGTACCGGCTCCACAAAACAATGTCAATACCAGCTGTGGCCACTTGCAGGAATGATCAGAACTTTATCTGTATTTTCAGTGCCGATATCTGTGGCAACATCTTCAGCTAGTCGTAGTAAATTTCTATTTTGGCCACTAAAAGTTCCCCTTTTCAGCTCAAACTTGAGTGAAGCTCCAGTATGCTGCACTTTTTTTTTTTTGTCTGAATGCCAGTCTAAGCCTGTAAATCCAGACTGAGCTCTCCTTAGAGGTCGAGGTGAGGGGTGAGGCCACTGTGGTGCTATAATTGGTAAAATATCAAGCCAAGGCCAAACGTTGGCAATATTTCACTCCACAGACTAAGAAGACCCCCCATTACTCATTGTGTACCCCTCAGTATTTATTGATGTGCAACAGGGACAAAGACAAAAAGAGGAATCAAAAAAGGAAATACTGGCTGCTTAGTGTGTTCTTTCTGAGGTCATATGTGAAGAGTGCGTGCTTCAGAGAGAGCCCAGAGGATGATGGAAAGTAGATCAACCTGAGCATAGTTATGTTGTTTTTGTCTTCTCTTCACCTTAAGGGGGCAAAGCATCCAAATCATTCAAAAGGCAGTTTCGTGGCAGTGCAGAGTTGATCCGTCTGAAAAAGATATTTGGATAACTTGTGATCGCAGACTTAAAGCTTCAGACAGCTTAGAAGAGGTTGAGACAGACTGTGAAGGAAAAAGCCACCAAAGTCCATACGTACAGCTTGATTCAAATTCCTTCAAGCATTTTGTATGTTGAAATTCAATAAATTACATATATCATTTAAATGACTGATTATAAACCAATTTTTAAAAGAATATTGTGCAGTATTATCACACATCAGCTTCCTTGGTTACACACTCTCCATCCTCATTTTTAAAAATGCGGCATTTTCAGAACAAAAACAGAACTTTGTGCCTTAAACTTACTTCTTACATGTTAAAGACACTTGACAACATTTAGCCTAAACCCAGCCCTTCAATCTTGTGAGAAAATGCACACTGATGACCTGGAGTTGAGAGGTCACGCCTACTGTACACACAGGAGGATTAGAGCTCTAAATGGGAACCTTCCAATGAATGACCTTGTGTCTCCATCATATTTATTTGCCAGCATTTTGGGTTTTTTTTTGTCTTGGCAAAACATGCACTGAGACTGACGGACCAGAGACAGAGCGTTGTATTGAAATATTTTTTGTTCAGATATGATTGTGGATCTGAAAGCAGAAACTATTTTATTTCTGACTTATTTCTGATGAAGACATGTTATATTATATATCTAAGTGGAAAAGGGCTCTCTGAACTTATTTTATTTTTTTCTAACCTTGCTTTTTCTCTCTGCGTAATTGTATGTGAGCATAAAGGCTATTCATGGATGTGTTTCCCAGTTAAAGCTCAGCTGGTGCGATCATCAAACTTGAGAAAACACGATTATCACTACTCTCACACTGCATTTTTGCAATATTTTTTTAAAACAGAGTGCCGCTACGGTCGGTTTCCGTGCTTGTGTTGGCCAAGGACGTGCCGTTTAAAACGTCAAAGGCTCGTCAGAAGGCCAGAGTTTCTGTTTTCTTTTAGGAATGCCAGGGCTTTCCGTTCCAGCTCTCGCCTCCCCAGAGGGGAATAAAGCTGGTTTACTCTTATTTGGTAATTTATCCCCTCCTCGTGTAAACAACTGTACGGGGCACAGCGGGGTTTATTTATGTGCATGATGATTATGTGGCTGTGTATACCACCACTTAAAAACGCTGGAACCCTCCGAGGTTTACATATATTGCACTGTCAATTCCCACAGCATCCCAGCAGAGCGTTCGAGACTGACACGTCTACATGTTTGTGTCTTTGGCGGCAACATCTGTTTAGCTGGTTTGACTGTTTCGACCAGTAAGCCGAGTCCTGGGAGTTGTGTTTACATTTTTCCGCGATCACTGAGGAGGTGTGGATGATGTTGTGATTGAGGAGTGATCTGAGGGCAATGGGAAGGAAATGGTTTATTCATCTTTACTGCGAGCTAAACATCTCTGTCAGCAGGCTTGAGATGGTAATTACACAATATTCCCAACACTCTCTCACAACTGTGATCGGTTCCGCAAACCTCAAGGGGTAAAATGGATTTTCCCAAAGAGGGTTTGTTTTGTAAGTTAAAACATGCTGCTGTGTCTGTTTTGTTCACAACCTCAGCTTAATGCATATATCAGATCAAATCAAGTTTATTGTCATTTTGCTGTACATACACAGTAGTACAGGCAAGATGAGAGAGCGTTTCTTCTGGATCATTTAATTAGTGAGTTTTGCAGAATGCACGTCTGGGATAAGACACTAAACGTCCACTGTCGCTGTCTCCTGAAGGGGGCGCTGCATCCATGCGCGCCACCATTTGTTGAACATGGTGAACCTCTTCAGGTCCTGGTAGGCAGATGCTGCCCAGAGTTAGCTGTCTGTCTGTCTGCATCCCCTCCAGCTGTATGTCCGTCTGGGATGCTGTCATGGAGCCATGTTTCTGTTAAAGCAGACACACAGCAGTCCCTCCACTCTCTGCGGGTTTCTCTCAGCAAACGTAGCTCGTCCAGCTTGTTGTGGAGGGAGCGGACATTGGAGAGCAGGAGGACGGTCCTGCTGGTCTGGAGGGGTTAGCCTTTAGCCTAGCATGGACCCCGGCTCTCTTCCTCTTTTGTTTACGTTCGTACTGTTTGCGCTTTCCTCTCTTTCGGGTAACTGCCGGCGTAGTCTCCGATCGGACTCCGTGTTGGTGTACTATGTCCACATCACAACCACTGTTCACTGTCCTGATGCCCGGCAAAGTCTCCCGGCAGCAAGTTTTGCGGAATGAATGTCTGGGATAGACAAGACACTCAAAACTTTCACTTTCGTTGTCTCCTGAAGGGGGCGCTGTGTCTATGCGCACCGCCATCACCATGGCAACAGTCTATGGTTAACTGCTGTAGTGAACTCCAACATTTTTTAGACTTAGACTGACTTTATTTATCCTCAGAGAGAAAGTCAGTTGTTCCAGCAGCATGAATATTCAGCAAAGGGGGTAAACAAAGCAAATACACAACACAGAATATTAGGGTATAAAATGAAGGTAAAATAAAGTAAAATAAAATAAGATTTAAAAAAATATTGAAAATATAATATAGAAGAAAGTAAAAAAAAAATTACAAGAATATACGAGAGATACAGAAATGTGCAAATGATGTGCTTAGATTGAAGCATTTCCAATGTCTCTAATGATACAACAGCAGTTATTTTCTAAGCCCTCCATAACTACAACTCCCATGAGTAGGAACGTAGTCAGTGTTTTAGACATACTTCGACTAACCACCAACACATTCTCACCACACGACAATAGCCTTAACACTGTTGCAATGCTTTTTCCACAGAAGTGTTTATTATTGTAATTACACCTTAAGCCTGATTGTTTGGCCACTGCAGCTATCAGAAACGGAGCGTTAGCATTTATTTGGAGTCGTATTTTTACCTACCTAATGAATGGAAAAATCCCAATTTTGCTCAGTTTTGTAGCATCGTCAAGATCTCCACTCGTTGCTGATGGAATTAAGTGGCTCTGTAGCTGCTTTTACCTTTGTTTGTCTGCTGTTTGGTGCTGGGAAGGTAGAGTACAGTGTTTTTGTTGAGAATAGCTTCTGAAAACTGAGTGATTAGAACAAACCAAAGGAATTGCAGCGTCTAAAACCAAAAGTTAAATGCTCCATAGGCCTAAAGGGAAATGCAGAGTCTGCTTATTTTTTATTTAGATTCATTTATTTGTGTTCATTTTCTTTTTTTGTCCTTTACGATCATGTCACTATAGTTCCAATCTAGCAGTTACTTTAGAGTGAATTCGTACAGAAAAGTTTTATTAAAGTTTCTCGTTGCTCTTTTCCCCTCCAGTATGTTTCCTCTCCTCTCACACATCTTGCCGGCTGCACCTTCATCCCTCCCAGTGACCCTACACATGCATTCACATACATACACGCACATACAGACTCCCTCCCCTCCTCTCCCTGTGCCAGCGCATGGCTCCGGTTCAAAGCAAACATCAACTAAAAGGTTAACTCACTTTGTTCTTGCTGCCCTGGCCTTATTAAGTTATTGGATGAGCTGCTGGCAGATTACGCTTGTCATACAGCATTTGGTTTGCTTTTATTACAAAGGTCAGAGTATTTGTGTGTAAGTTTATCTCTATATCAGAACTGGGAAAAGGGCTGATGTTAGATATTAAAGAGCAATAAATAAATGTTTGTGAGATTAAAAGTACTAGCTTTGGTTATTTTTGTCTCTCTCTTTTCTTTTGTGTGTTTCTGTAGGGTAGCCAAAGCCATGAAGCTGGCCCTGTATGAGACTCCCACGGGCTGGAGGTACTTTGGGAACCTGATGGATTCTGGGCGTTGTTCCCTCTGCGGGGAGGAGAGCTTTGGGACAGGTACCGTCGAGCAATCTCCCTCACAATCCGAAAACAAAACACTTCAATCATAAAGAGAGATTTGCTGCGTGGCATGAATACAGAAATATAACAAATACAAATGTAAGGCAGCCTGCTAGATTCTGAGGAGAAGGTCATGAAGTTGAATCCCTGGACTGGCTTTGGAAAATTTGAGTGGGCGTGTGACTGGGATCTCCCCTCCCTTCAGCAGCAGCAACTGTTGTTGAGGTGCCGGAAAATAAGAGCGGTACCAGACAGCTGCTGGAGCTGTGAATGTGCAACAAGAACGTCCTGAAACTCAGACAAAGTGTGTCGAGTCAGGTTTCCCTTTAATCAAATTAGGTCTTACTTTGGTAGTTTTGCACACGATTTCTGTTGTACTCGCCAAAATAATAATTACAAAAGTGTGGAAACACGACAACATCCCAGCAACGGGGGAAAATGATCAGGATGTAACCAGGTGTCCAGATGGAACAGACTACAGACTATGACATCTTCTATTCGAGACCCCTACAGAAAGTATTAACAGCTGAACCTGTTGTGTTACAAGTGATGGTTGTCGACAACAAGCTGTGTGTATCATCAGTTTTCTTATTTCACTGTTTACTTGGCATTTGTTTAAAACCAGTATCATCATTTGACCCCAAATGTTTCTTGCCTTACTTAAAGCTGGGGTAGGCAGTAACTTTTTTGGGCCTCCTTTGCAGGGTTCTCGCCAGGATTTTTTTTTACAGCATACAGAGGGGGAAGGGTTATTAACGGGGGTGGGGGGAAGAGTCATCATCAATATCAGCGTTGGCAGCAAAGACGACGGAAGTGAAACTCCATTGGCACTTGTTAAGTATTTTCCTGTTACGTACTCTCGAAAACAACCTATATGCCTAATTTCATTTTTTCAGACAGCAGCGTAACAGGCCATTACTCTGTTATAACATTGGCGAGAACCCTGCTTTGGCAAAAATCGCATCCTAACCTTTCAACTTATTCAAGTGGTCTGAGATTCAACTAGACCTGTACTCCTCGTCTTGACTCTGTTTCCAGGCTTAAGAAAATCCAGCCAGTGATCAGAGATTTTAGCCAATCACAGCTTTTCCCCTTAGAACAGGTGACATAGCATAAATACCGCATCCATTATCAGAGCTGGATATGGTGGTACAGGGGGTAGAAGGCAGGATTTCATTTGTGAGAGTGAGGTTCAAACATCGGGGGAAGCCACAAATGAATGTTCAGTTGAGATTGACTGTCCTCATGTGTTTGAAGTTCATGCTCATCGACTTAGAACAAAGTTAACATATTCACATTTCTGCCTACCGCAGCTTTAATTTCTTTACAGCCACTTTCTCAGAACGTAGCAATTAATACACACGTATAATATATTACTGATGTGATAACACTGACAGGAATGATGACAAAAAGTGCTTGATCCCAATTTCCCTTTAAAGGAAAAAAAATTCTCACCATTTCCCTATTCCCTCCTCTTCCAATCGATTCCAGGTCTGGGCTTGTGAGCAGTGCATCCTGACTGCTCGTAGCTGCAGTCAGACTCATCTAATGGATGAGAGGGCTGTGACCCTGACTGCATGTGTAAATAATCCCCATTCTTTTGCTATAAAAGGACACAGGGGCTCCCTGAATCACTGCAACAGGCCGACTGGCCTCCATGCTTTCTATGAATGCAGACACGCACATACATAGTCAGAAAATATAAATAAAGTGCACGCAAAATTTGCTCTCTGTTTATCCGTGCCATCCTTAGCAGACCCTGTCGTTCATTTTTTCTGTCCGTTTTGTTAAGGTTCTGCTTTTTTTTATTTAATCTGTGGCAGGTTATCTGCTTCTTTTCCTCTCTACTTTGCCCTGTCTACTTGTTTCATTATGTTTATTGGAGAAGATGTCTTTACCTCTTGAGAAAGACAGCGACATAGGAGAGAAAAAACTCAGTGGGTGTGAACAGGAGAGAAGAGAAAAGACCCTTGTAGAAAAGAGAGAAGAAGAGGATGGTGGGAGAGTCCAAATATGAGAAGTATTGACGAGGACGAGGGAAGGAGCAGAGACTCTGAGAGCCCAGAGGACTAATGGAGCTGACTCGTTGTCTATCCATGTAAGGCAAAAAAGCTCAGAGGGAGCCCTGCACAGTAAATCATTGGAGCTGCACACCACTCCTGCTCTTTACCAACTCTTAAAGACACGCACAGCATGAACGGCTAATTAAGCAAGTTGTGTCTGACTTCGGTGTGGAGACTGTGTTATTGTTGCTTTGCACAGAAAATACGTTTAATGGAAATCAATGGTTAGCAACACAATAAAAACACACGATTCTAGTTACTGTAGCACCGACCCGATGTTGTTATTGTTCCAGCACTTTGCAAGTAAATAGGAACAGGTCAGCTGAAAGGAGAAGCAGCCCTGTTGTGAGCGGTTATTAATACTTTGTTGATATAGATCTTGGATTTATTTGATTCGGCCACGGCCTCTGTCTCCTTCTCGCTCTCAGGGTGACAGACAGTGACGCAGGAATTAGATAATGGCAACTGCCAGTTTCCTAACAGCTGTATACCGCAGAGGCCGGACGCAGAATATTAAACGTACTAGTGTTAGTGTTTGGCAAGGGAAAAACAATACATTTATGTAAATTAGAAAATCCACATAAGGATGTCTGAAGTTTTTTCTTTCTTGCCGTTCCGTAAAATCTGTTTTAGCTGACAGTTCAGTCCGTTTTCCACTTCGGTCTCTCGCAGGGAAACATTAGTTACACATTCTTACCCCTAACAAATACCTTTACTGTGCAGCTGTCTTTGCGAACAGACCAGTAGCTCCCCAGTGGAGGAGACTGTGGGTGTGAGCCGCTCCTCTGTCTGAATGTGTGGTTTGGGAAGGCAGCAAGCATTGTTTGTATGGGAATATTTGGTGCATCTCCAACCCCAAGCACTGTCAATGATCTTTTATGACATGTATTAGAGTAAATATTGAACCTAATTGAAGTACTTGTTTTACATTTACTATTAAGTTGTGACATTATTGAATGGCTCTGGCCTTATTATTATTGGTAAAATTGCCAAAGACAGTTTATTTTTTCCCACCAGGATTCTGAAGAAACTTTCTACCTCCACTTTTGTATTCTTTCTTTCAAACTTAAAGCAGGACGTGTTGGTTTTTGCTAAGACGAAGATAAGATCCATACAATTTCAATATAGAGCTTGAGCTAGCGACAGTTAGCTTAGCTTAGCATAAAGAATGGAAACCATGGGAATCCAAAGACTGTAAATCAGGGGTGTCCAATCCTGGTCATCGAGGGCCACAATCCTGCATGTTTAAGATGTTTCTCTTCTTCCAACACACCTGATTCAAATGATCAGCTCATCATCAAGCTCTGCAGAAGTCTGATAACGATCCTGATCATTTGAATCAAGTGTGTTGGAAGAGGGACACATCTAAAACATGCAGGATTGTGGCCCTCGAGGACCAGGATTAGACACCCCTGCTGTAAATAGTGGATGTAAGATGCTTCTGGAGGATGCCTCTCCCTGTTTCCAGTTTTTGTGCTAAGCTAAGCTAATGGACAGCCAATCATTTCCCCAAAAACTAAAGGTTGGGGTGTCTTGCATGACACCAAATGCTAAATTAGCTACATAGCAGATTTATGTTGGAGTTCAGTCTATACAAAAGGAAGAAATATTTATCACGAGTTGTGGTGTTTTGGATGTTTTCTTTCCAGGTTCTGATCACATTCGTGAGAAAGACGGTTTGTGGTCGGTGTTGATGTGGTTGTCCATCATGGCGGCCAGGAAACAAAGCGTGGAGCAGATCATCCGAGAGCACTGGGCCAAGTTTGGACGCAACTACTTCTGCAGGTAACCAGCTGAGCAGATCTCTCTGGAATACAAACTATGTTGTCCATGTGTCCATTAAACTAATCTTTCTTTGCCTCAGTTTTCTTCATGGCATTTTCCCACATTGAGTGCATACGTGTTGAATTTATTTAAATCTACAAGACTCCCTCGAATGATCATCTTTCTCTTCATCTCGTCTCGGCCCCTCCCTCCCTCCCTCCCTGGCCTTCACCTTCATCCATTTCTCCTCCAGTCCTTCTCACTGTTTGTCACTTGTTCTTATTTTAACCTCTCCCCTGTGACAGGCACAGATAGTTACTGCAGTCAGTGTTCCCACTGGTAGTTGCTGCAGCTTTTCATGTTCCCACAGAGAGCTTTTCTAAACTGATGCACGTTTCCCAGATGAAGGGGACGCACAGGACGGGCCAAGGACCAGATGCCTGAAAAGTCTATAAAACACAAACAGCTGTCATCATTTTTGAGAAGAATAAATCAGCTGCTCTGAACCAAGCTGCTCTGTTGCAGTTTAGGGTCATTTAAACAGAACGATAATACGATAAACTGCTTGATGATGCATTAGAAGGGTTAGAAAATATAGATTTATCTCTGACATATTCTTTCCTCATTTCCTCCTAACCATAGTTTCATTGCCTGTGTGAGTATGTATGTGTGTTAAGGGTTTTTTTTTTGTGTGTGTGTGTGTCTCGTTATCATCAGGTTTGACTATGAGGGCCTCGACCCACGTGCAGCTTTTTACCTGATGAGGGATCTGGAGGCAGTAATCTCAGACAAAGCCTTCACCAACCAGAAGTTCGCTGTAGGAGACCACATGTACAGCGTGGAGCGGGCCGACAACTTCGAGTACATCGACCCCGTGGATGGATCAGTGACTCGAAACCAGGTCAGTGTGAGACGACTTTGAACGAAGGATGTTACATGAAAGAAGTAGATGAGTGGAAACGAGCATTTTTTCCCACAATGATTATTTTAAACATGAGAGGATGGCGTCTGTCTGGATATTTGTTACTTTCATAACTGAACTTAAGACTGAACTCTAGCTGCTTTTGTATATGTTTTACTAAAGTTATTCTTTCTTGCCTTATTGGGATGATGGTGACATTCCAGCCACTTATTTTGTCTGTTTTTGCATTTATAATTATTTAGTGTGGACTGTTACTGCTATATTTGCTTCTCCTTTTAGAGGTTTTTCACTTTGTGCGACTTAAATTCAAAATGGCCTCTGACTGCAGGGTTCCTCAGAAGATGTTTCAAACACTAAATAATGCTCACATCAACTTACAGTCCTTAATTGCCACTAAATATTTGCTATATTTTTTTGGTGCTAGACTGATATCAGTATTAGCCTATTTACTTATAAATAACAAGTACATGTTTGTAAAAGAGGGTGGTTAGCACCGTTGCCTCGCACCTATCAGGTCGCCGGATCGCGTCCCGGTGAGGACACTCGCGATCGTTCTGCGTGGAGTTTGCATGTTCTCCCCGTGCAGCGTGGGTTCTCTCCAGGTTCTCTGGCTTCCTCCCACACAGTCCAAAAACATGTTGAAGTTAACTGGTGATTCTAAATTGTCCGTAGGTGTGAGTGTGCTTGGTTGTCTGTCTCTAAGTGTAGCCCTGTTATAGACTGGTTACCTGTCCAGGTGAACCTGTCTTCACCCTAAGTCAGCTGGGATAGACTCGAGCCCCCCACGACCCTAGTGAGGATTAAGTGGTGTATAGATGATGGATGGATGTAAAAACAGAAAGAATTGCCAGATTTTCAACATTCCAACAGTCCATCATAATGTCCTCACCCATGATGTGCTGTTCAGGCCTGAAATTTAACCAAATCTCAACTCAAAATCGGGATATTTCAGCAAAATCACTTTATTCAATGTCTCAATTAAAACATTCTTCGACCTAAATTGTTAGCAGATTCTGTAAAAAGAAAAAAAAAACGTAGAAAAATCTACCCTCCTCAACACACCCGACAAACCCCTTATTGACTCAGTTGTAGCCATCAGTCATGTAACAAAAATTCTGAGACTTTAGAGCTGAACTGGACTGAATTGCAGGCAGTATTTACACAATGCAATAAGGAGATAAGTGTGGAAACAAATTAAAACTGTTACTACTAAAGTATCTGTAGTGTTAAGAGTCATCTTTTTTTTTGCAGTATTGGTGTAAAATCAAAGAATTCACCTTTCATTTTTATTTGTATTTTTTATGACTTATGGCATTGTAACTGTCTCGTACTGTACAAAAGACTTTTCTGAGCTCTCTCTACTTCTAGCTTCGGTTGTGCTGTTTCCATTGAGGTGCAGGACTTTATATTGCTGTGGAAAATGAACCTGGAACGAGTAAAATTGTCACTTTAACAGAAAACACCCAGAAACTGTTTGGGATTCAGAGGGTTAAATCCTGTATTACATGTTTTAAAAAGAATACTTACAAATTGACATATTGTCCTCAGGTGTTACTGCTCCATTTCATTATTGGCTGCAGAAATTCAGTTGGTTACAAATGACTCAATGGAAATTAAATGAAACTATGACAGTAGGTGGCACTGATTGAC